TTCCCACGATGCTGGTAATAACGGAACAGGAAATTTTATTACACCACTTGATTTCCTCAAACACCCGTTAGGTGGCGCTATTTAAGTTTATTAAAAGATAAACATTTTCTTCTGCATCCTTTTTCTTCCTCTTGTTCCACGTTGTGTCAGTACATTAAAAAAAAAAATCTCCCCCGCTGGGGCATGTTCGTTTCCGTGGTTGCACATATCTTCCAAAACCTCCACTTATAAAGTAAATCAATCTTTTCTTTTGTGGTTCAAACTCTGTGCAAGTCTGAATTCAGCTCGACCATTATAACGATGCTTATCCTTACTTACCCTAACTCCCGGACCAGAAAAGAAAATGGACATATCAAAGAAACATTGAGAACTTTGTTTCACTACAGTCTATATTATCGTAGCGACATGCTATTCTGTTATTTTTTGTTTTAGCAAACGGACTCTTTCAATTAAACCTTGAACAGTTTTTTCGAGTTTATTAATTCTGTACATCATTTCGGAGACATTTTACGTTGGTTATCCAAAACCACTACTATTTCTTTCCTATTCATAGTTTTATTATGACCAATTACATTATACTTCATAACCTAGAATTATTTCTATGACTTTCATTATAACTGGAAGTAGTGTTAAATCCCTGCGCTGTTGTAACACTCCTACGCCATAAAACCGGCAGCAACAAGCCAGTCCAGGGAACTTTCCGTAGCGTGATTTTTAATTGGCTATGACTAGTTAAGACAAGCTATGACTAGCTAAGACGAGAAATTGACCAATGGCCCAAGTCGGGACACTCGGGTCCTCCACATTAAAACAAACTGACCTTGTATTGCATTCTGACTTAGTGGGGAGTCAAAAGTAAATACTGACGAGGGAAGAAGAAAATGATTGGGTAATATCCGGACCAGCGACCACCACCACCAGCCATCAGCGACCACCAGCGATCATCAGCAACCATCAGCAATCATCAGCGACCAGCAGTGATCACCAACTGACCCCCGCCGACCACATCTTCTACCAATCCACTCGGCGATTCAGGTTTTATTCCCTGCTGCCCATCATCTTGCAGATCACCAGTGCTTCCGACCATCTTCCTTGAGCTACGACTGCCAGCTAGTGCCAACCTAATACATCAACTGTTTATCGATCTTCTCTGACTGCCTATCGTCCTTCGACACCTCCCAAGTGGTTTTGTCTTCATCTTCTAGTTACCAACAATCATCTGCCCTAAGCTACAACTGTCAGTTAGTATCAACCCAATATGCCAGCTGTTTATCAACCTTCGTCACCATTCAAGTTGCGCCGGTCATCATCAACTGTCAATGCATCTAAGACCAACAGTCAACTACCAGCACAACCACCCATAGCATTTGAAACATCCGGATTCTTCAGTTGTATTTTCCTTTTAACTGCCAATAATAAATCTTTGCCGTGGCCTGTATCACTTTTTCAATTTTAATGTTTGCGAGGTTCGTCTAACATCGACATTCGGACCCCATAACAATATAAAAAAGCAAATAAACGGTCCATAGTAGAAACTCAAAATATTGAATGCTTCTTCTTTGTTTATTTACATGTGAACAATAAGCGAATATTTTAAGCAATATTTTTCATTATTTAATACGTGGAATGTGTTTTCTTATTTGATGAACAAGTTTGTCGATTATAAAATGTATCGGTATTGATTTACCAAGCTTAGCTTAATCAGGCCAAAATATGGAATACCCAGTGAACATCAAACTTACAACAATAGTAATAGTCTGCAACTACAAGTCAAGCTTGCCGGTATCAACATTTATGAATAATAGTAAGTTTAGTTTAATCTAATAACGTTATAATTATGATTCGAGTTTACTGCAATCGTAATGATCTGAAAGAAGAGCTTTGTAAACAGTTATATGGCGACCATCATGAAGCTAATACACACGAATAAGTAGCTAAATAATTTCACTAAGTTAGGTTGGCTAATTTAACGACATATCGACCTCTCTAAGGTTATTTAATGATGAATACAAGTCTTGCGGAAAATATTAACAAAGAATTAAAAGATAGGTTGACATAGGTCTGGCTTGCACGAGAGTCGAAGAGTTAGACAAAGTTTGGGTTGGAATGAAAGTCCGGTTTGTACTTGTGTCAAAAAAGCAGACACATGTTCGCTTTGTAGCCAAGTCAAATATAGTATATATATATATATATATATATATATATATATATATATATATATATACGAGAGTCCAGAAAGGTATAGCGGACTGTGGGCTTACGTGTTGTTAAATTAAGAACACACATGTTTATTCCTGCTAGAAGAAGGTCCACTACAAGAATATGGCGGACTCAGAGATTGAATCCACTGTAAAGAAGTGTAAAGAGAACATATATATATATATATATATATATATATATATATATATATATATATATATATATATCGGTCAACAAATATATGTATTAAACAACAAAATTTACAATGGGCATAGACATTAATATTTGTGTTTGTGTGTGAACGTAAAGAGTTTGTATTTTGGTGAATGTTCGTACGAACGTGTATGTGTGTTTCATGGCATTTTCCCACAAGTGGGCAAAACGCGGATCTCTGCAAGAAATCACATTTTGTAAATGTGTCTGCTGAAATGCAAAGTAAAAAGAGAACGAGGTAAGAAATCGCCCAGTATTTATAGTGTAGGGAGAGCACCCTCTAGTGAATAATTTGAACAATTAAGGAGGAGTTACCTCCGACAAAGGTAGATATATGCCCGGTTTATATGTGAGTCAAAAAGGTAGAAATCGGTCTGGTTTACATGTTAGTCAAAAAGGTAGTTATATGTTTGGTTTACACAAGAGTCAAAAAGGTAGAAAATAGGTCTTGTTTATACGAGTGTCAAAAAAGGTACATATAGGTCCGGTTTACACACGAGCCAAAAAGATACACACAGGTCTGATTTACACGAGAGTCAAAAAAAGTAGACACAGGTTCGGCTTACATGAAAGTCAGAATGGAACATATAGGTCCAGTTTGCACGAGAATCAAAAAGATAGGTCCGGTTTTCACAAAACTCAAAAAAGTAGACATAGATTCAGTTTACGCGAAAGTCAAAAGGGAACATATAGGCCTGGTTTACATGAGAGCCAAAAGGTACATATAGGTCCAGTTTGAGGTGGAGTCTGATTTGCACGAGAGTCAAAATGGTACATAAAGGTTCAGTTTGCACGAGTAAAAAAAGTACATGTAGTTCGGTTTGCACTTGTGTCAAAAAAATAGCCATGGATCTGGTGTCTACACGTATCCACCTGTAATGTTGCCTCTTTTTTTTGGAAATGAGAGGAATATATCTTGAATAAACAAATTTCTTTTTATTTTCAGGAGAACATCCGACTATAAATCAAACTGCTGAACACTTCGCTCGGACTTTTGTTACAAACAGAAGAAGAATGACTTACGCTGGAATGGGCAGACGTGGCGTTGAGAGAATTCTACCGCGGGATCTTTTAATTATTATTGACTCTTCTGGGAGCGTATCCCCTGCGGAGTATGAACAAAGCAAACAAGCAATGGCAGAGGTATAATACAAGGCTGCCCCAAAAGTCACAAATTAGGTTTAGATTTTATTACTTTTCAGCATTTAGAATAATAGCCATAGATGTTATTTTACTGTTAGCTTAGTACAACATAAAATCAAATTGGAGTAAGATTGTGCACCGCCTTTCTTTAAACTGGAAACCTACTTATTTTGAAAATTGACTTTTTTTTACTTGGGTTCAAACTTCGATTGCTGATACCAATGGCAAATAAGCAACTATTTCAGCCACCAGACATGCAGCATTTATCTCCATTTTGTTAATTTCGTATGGAAAGAATAAATAAATAAAATAATAAAAAACAGAATTGATTAATTAGTATTGACTAATATTAATTAATATTTATTAAATGTTATGAAATGTCAATATTATATAACTACATTATGTATATAATTATAGATAGATTTAGTATATTGGGGCAGCAGATCATTATTTAAACATATATTATTAAATAAAACAGACAATGAATGTCTATTATGTCTGATTATGAGCCGTTCTAATGTTCGAATGTTTGCTTTAATTTCTGATGAAAATCTACATTAAAATGAAGCAACCCACACTCAACAAAATTACATTTCAAACTAGTCGCAACACATTACATTGCATCTAGACATTAGTTCTGTTGTAATACTTTTGTCTATCGTGTGGTATGACGTCATAGAACCGCATTTTGAACTTACGATCCGCGTCTACTATTCTGCGACTGTTAATGTCGCATAGCAATCTTCTGTCAAAATAAAATATCATCTTTGATGGTGGATATCTTTGTTCCATGTCTGTATAACCACTCTGAGGATGGCTCATGTGAGTCAAAAGCTTAGGACCAACTTAATAAAAAAATATCCAAATGTTGGACAATTTTTGTCTTTATTTTCACCAGAAATTATAGCAAACATTCAAACAATATAACAGCTCATGATCAAACATAATAGACATTCATTGTCTGTTATACTTAATAATATATGTTTACAGATAGATATAGACAGTGTGGGCATAGGGATCAACTTTGCATGTTTACTGTCAGTTTCACGCTTTAATGACGTTGTCTGAAGACCGCATTAAAACGTGAGACTGATCGTCACCATGCTGTGCTGCTCTCTATGTCCACACTATTTATACCTGTAAACGATGTATATCTGATAGTGAACACATTTCCCCAATAACTATAGCAAATTTTACCAATATACTTATAGATGTTATTATTAACAATTCTGAAATATTATTAATTAAAGATATTAATTGATATCTGTTAATTAATATTCATGAACATAATTAATTAGTTGGTTTTAAAATATCTTTGTGACTTTTAGGTCATCCTGTTTCATTTGTCTTTCTTTCAATAAGTATGAACATCGTTTCTTCAATTGTTATGGTTCATCAGAAGAACAATTTTATAATTAAATTGGGATTATTTCTAGTAGAGTATTGCATTGAAACACCAGTTTCCTTATGATCACTGAAGTTAAGCAACATCAAGCCTGGTCAGTACCTAGATGGGTGACTGCTTGGGAATACTATGTGCTGTAAGCTTCCATGCGTGGATGGTGCAATGGATAATGACTCAGAATTGTTAATCAGAGAGATGTGTTCCAATTCCTGTTGGGTTCATTATATTCACTTACACCCAAATATCCTTGGGAAAGGTATGAATCCAAATTTTATGGGTTAATTAGTAAGGCTTGTATCCTTAAACCATTGTTATCTCAAAAAACTTCTTACAATCAAAAAATATTTTCTAGCTTTAAAGGGTTGATAAACCATAAAGCCAAATGAATCAATCAATAATCTTTGTCTATAAAATCTTGAGCTAGTCTCCATAAACTTAGTGTGAATATCATTGATTGTTTTCCAGGTAGGATGTTACATTTATTTACATACAAATACACTTGGGAATGGTATGAATCTATATCCTCCCCCATCTATTGATTAAATAGTAGGACTTGTATCTGGAAAAATTAAAGTTATTCTCAAAAATTGTTAATTCAATATTCACTTGCAAAAAAAAGAATTATTCTTATAATAAAAATTTTTTGGCTTTAAATAACCCACAAAGGGTTGATAAGCCATAAAAAACAAATCAAATAATCAATTCCAGATAAGAATATAATGTTATCTGTATGTTGCTTTAAATTCTTACTGTAATTTCTATTACTGTAATTTTGTGTCTGTTTTCACATTATTGTCATCACCATAGAGAGAAAAGAAAGAAGGTAACGCTGAAACATCAAAATATTTTACAATGATGTTCCCTCTGTACAAGACCTAAGAGCCAGAGTAGAGTGTTACCAAATAAGAAACACCACTCTAATTAAGGATATAATGCCACCAATTATAAAAGGCCACCAGAAGTGAAAGAAAATGAAAAGTCTTTAGAATGAACCAGAAACCCAATCCTAAGAAGGAAATAAAAGATACACTTCTGCTTCTGTTCAAAAGACCAGGGAGGATTGTGAACTGGATGATAGGTGAACATACCTACTCCTATTGAGAAAATAAAATAAAAAGTAAAAAACTAGTAAATAAAATTTCAGAGTTATAGACAGAGATATTAGAAGTTAAAGTAGACTTTAGAAGGAGCCAGAAACTCAATCCTAAATAGGAAACAATTGATGGATATCGCTTTGTCAGAGACTGGGCAGGAATCTGAAAAGATAATCAGATAAAATGTATATTGCTACTTTTGCAACACACTGTATTATAGGATTATATATGCAAAATATAAAAAGAATACATTATGTGACATGTTTGGTACCAACAGCAAGAAGTAATTTCTGACCTGACATTTTGGAAATAATGAAATATCTGTCTTAGAGGCTCCATTCCTGATTTAAAATTAGAGTTGTCCATTTCCTACACTAGTTGCCAAACAAGGCTAAATAATTTAGTCTAGTCTACTATTTTACACACAGCTGGAGGAAACCAAGACTAGAAATTATATTCTTCTCAGCAATTTGCACATAGCTGAGGGAGGAGTAGATTCATACCTTTATCAAGGGCATTTATATAACATGAGAATCAACTGTCTCATCCATTTACTGTTTGACAAACTGCACTTCCATGAATGCATTGCAAATGATTTTATATTAGAATGCATTGTATATAATTTTGCTCTAGACTTTAATATAGAAAACAATGCAAATAATTTTATTAAGGAAATGCATTGAAAATTGGAAAGAAAGAAATAGTCAATGGTCAGGATTTAATGCAATCATTACTGATAGATTGTAGATATATATTTGTGCGGAGATGTCCAAGTGCAAAAATACTATTAAATAACTAATAGAAGGGAAGGAACGTTTTATTTTTTTAGGAAATTTTCCAACTCGTCACCCAATCCTATAAAGTCCACTGCTTTTATTAATTTCACAATCAGCCACCAGAGAGCTAGCAGTCGATTCAAGTTTTTAGTTGTATGTTTTTATAAGTACACTTTTATGATAAGCATGCTTTTATGATTAGCATGCTTTTATGATTAGCATGCTTTTATGATTAGCATGCTTTTATAAGCATTCTTACATGATATGCACACTTTTTTGATAAGAACACTTTTATGATAGGGACACTTTTATAAATACTCTTTTATAAGCACTGTTTTATGATCATTCTTTTATAAGCACTTCTTTATGATAAGCAAACTTTTATAATAAGCATTCTTTTATCATAAATTTTTATGATAAGCATGCTTTTATGATAAGCAGTCTTTTATAATAAGAACTCTTTTATAAGCAGTCTTTTATGATAAGCACGCTTTTATGATAAGCAAGCCTTTATGATAAGCACTCGTTCATGATAAGCACACTTTTATAAGCACTCTTTTATGATAAGCAATCTTTTATAAGCCCGTTTTATGCTAAGAACACATTTATAATAAGCACTCTTTTATGATAAGCAGTCTTTTATAAGCCCGTTTTATGCTAAGAACACATTTATAATAAGCACTCTTTTATGATAAGCAGTCTTTTATAAGCACTTTTTATGATAAGCACTCTTTCATAGGCATTTTTTTAAGGTAAACACTTCTTTATAAGCAGTCTTTTATGATAAGCATGCTTTTATGATAAGCACTCTTTTTTTTATGATAAACTGTTTTATAAGCACTCTTTTATTATAAGCACGCTTTTATAAGTACTCTTTTATGATAAGCACTCTTTTATAAGCACCCTTTTATAATATGCATGCTTTTATAAACACTCTCTTATGACAAGCACTCTTTTATAAGCAATCCTTTATGATATGACACATGTTGAAAGATTCTATTCCACTGCCTTGTTTAAAAAATATTTTCCATTATTTTTTTATTTTTTCCAGAATTGTCACATTCTGATTGTGCACAAATGTACTTTTTTTTATGTGGACTTTTTTTGCATACTAATTGTGTCAGTCCTTCTTTGTGTGCTACTATCTTGCAAGATATCTTGGCGGTGAAGTTACATGTTACAATAGTGATCCTGCAAAAACATTTCTTTACTTAAATTCTAAATTTTTGATCCTTTGAATGATTTTCCAACTTTCCCTTTTAAGATTCCCCATTTATCCCATATTGGGAAAAATTTCAACTACCCAATTATTTAGACTTCTCCCTTGTATTAGGTGCCTAATACAAGGGGCTCGGTTATTAACAAAAATATAATGTGGCATTTTTGGTGCATTACAAATCAACAACCCTCTCCTTTTTCGTTTTCTATGTGCCATGTCTCTCACAGGACATAGGCAACCATGACTTCTTGCAGTTTCCTATGTTTTGCAACTCCTAGCAATGTTTATCTTTTTATAATCCCTCCTGCTCTTTGTTCTACCAACCACATTAGGTAGGTTACTCACTGTTTCCTTTAATATGGTCTGTGATTGTCAAATTTCCCAAGCCTTCTTGTCTCATTGTGTCCAAGAAATCCCAACTGTCTCTTTCTGATTCTAATTATAAACATCCTTTTTGTTTTCATTTTCCTCAAAACTTCCTTATTACTCACATGTTCTGTTCATGGTATTCTCAGCATCTTTCTATTAGAACCACATTTCTGTTGTCTCAACTCTCCTCTTCATCTGCAAGAAAATTGTCTAACATTCGTTGCCATTAGAAGGACTGAGATTAACAACATAAGATATGCAGATGACACAGGCTTGATGACAAACTCAGAAAGAAAATTGCAGGAACTTCTATAAAAGGTAATAAAGGAAAATGAGAATAAAGGACTAACCATTAACGTATGGTTGGAGATGTCAAAATCAAGCAAGTTCAAAAATTGAAATATCTGGAAAGTGTCTCACTGAAATCCCAAAACACATTGAAATGGTAAAAGATGCCTTTCAAAAGTTAAGTATTAAGAAACAGAAAAAAATTGATGAGATACAAAGAAAAGTGTGCTTAACTGCGATGTAATATCAGTCCTTCTAAGCAATGAATACTGTTATTTATTGTTCTTTTTTATGCCTGATGTCATAAAATTACGTTTGAGTTTCATTTATATATGAATTACATTCTTGAAGCTGGCTGGGTATTTTAAGCAGAAAAAGAGCACTAACTTTTGAGTGCTTGGTATACAAAATAAGCCTTGTTGAATAGAAAATGTCAGATATTTGTAGTTGGATGACAAAGAAGAAAAACAAGTTACATCGGCATATCACAAATAACACATTGATTTACTTACATTATTTGCTTTATAGAACTAGAATAGTTCGATGAAAAGAAATAGTGTACAAAGGGCCGTCGAATTGAGAAATTATTTCTTATTGTTGTCAGATATCAGTTAAGTCAGTTTGCTTTGATGCTTCCTGGTGTCCCACTTCTCATTGCCATTGTGGTAAGAGGAAAACAAAACAATGCAGCAGGTGACTTGTGTAGTTTTGGTTTTGTTCTCTACTTATCTATGACTTTAAACGTCGTTTTATAAGGTCAGCCTACATAAAAGTGGCACAGATAGATGTATTCCTCTGTTTCCTTTTTATTGACAAAAAAAAACAACAAAACAATTTTATTTATTTATTTTAATGTTTGTGCCACTTTCGAATATTTTTTGTTGAGCTAAAAATAGCTTTCTCTTGCAAGCTTTTGTTAGTTTCTAATTTCTTAACCATCAAAATGAAAATGTCTGTTAGATCTTTTTGTTTTAAAATCAAAATTCCAACAATATTTGTAAAATATGGGAAGAAAAGTGTGAAAATGGGTATCAAATGAATTCTCAGAGCTAAGTATAGATGAATTCTAACCTTCTGCATAAGTCTTCTTATCAAAGAGGAAAACAAAAACACCATTGTAGTGGGAAATTGTTACTAAAAACAGAAAATGAATTTGCTATGATAGTCCTCAAAAATCATAAGTGGATACATGGCAGCCTTCAGCATCAACAACAAAACTTAACAATTTGGGAAAAAATTTAATTCATTTTTTTATTCTGTACTTTGTATGATGGGAAGAGCATTGTGTTAGAAATTGCTGAAGCCTTGAAAAATTTTTACTGAAGAGAATTTCAATCAACACCCTCCATGTCTGAGCATTGGAACTAAAGTAAAAAGTCCTTATAAGTTAAAAAA